TTAAGCAGCAGAGGCTGAAGAACTGGTCTCTGCAGGGTGTCATGAGAAACACAATCACTCAGTAATGATTTCTTATTTATAATTACTATTGGGACTTGTCACTTAATCAGTCCTAAATTCATTAGTGCCATGGGTGATTTTGTATCACTCTCGATAATCGATCAAGATGCCATGCAACACTAAGTCAAATGCCTTACAGGAAAGAGTCTGCTACATCAAAAATATTTCCTTTATCAATGAAACTTGCAACTTCATCAAGAAGTGACTCCACAAGCAGCCATCTATGACTTTGTCCAGGATCAATGTCACAGCTGATGGTCTAATAATTTTTTGTATTATCTTATTCAATCTTGTTGATGTTGGTGCAATGCTAGCTTCCTGGCAGCTGAGGAAGCTTCTTGGCCAGCTGTTGGGTGAAGCCCTTCTGGAACTGCTGCTTTCAAAATCTTTGTCTTTATTCATCACCCCATTCTGAGTGGCATTTTAGTTAGAACATATTTATTCACCATTCTTCAACAGGAATACATCATTTGTTTGCTTGCTTTTTCCCAAATGCAGAACATAAGGGGGAAATCCAAGCTTCTGAATTGTTCTTGAGAACTCCACAATACCCACTTAATGATAAGCCACTACTGGTACTTTAAAATTTTTTTAATCCTTAGAAGTTTCTTTGCATTGTCCTTAATACTTCTGATATGGGGGGTTTTGCTTATCAATTTTCTATTCTTCTATGCATATACCTTACAGCTTTTGGTATAAGTGTTTTTTCATTTGAATATTGTTGGTTGTCCTGTGGATAAGGTTATGATAGCTGCTGTTTAACATCAGCCTTACCTGAAGGTAGAAATAGGCCAACCAAAGCATTTTTAATTAGCATGGTGGCACCAGAGGCTTAAGCATTAGACTGTGGTTTGAGAACCTCTCGTTTTTCTTGGGGAATTGTCTGCTTTTTTAACATGGGATCTTCTGAAAAATGCTTTGTGCCAAGCATTTATTTGTGTGTATGTGCATCTAGCTTTCCTTCCTCATTATCCCTATTAATATTTGAACCTATAGTTCAGTTTCTACTCAGTTTGCCAGTGGTAAGATGTCCCTAAATCACCAACAAATTAATGAAAAATCAACAGCCAAGATAAAGGAAAATTAACTGTAGGGGAGACTGCCATCATCATCTCATGCCTCAGAAGATCTATGTGGGACAGTGGCATTATATTTGCCACAACTCTGAGCAGAGCTACTGCTAGCTTACATGCATTGTCAGACACAGATTTGGGGGAAACTAGGCTTCCTTATTTCTTGTAGTCATGCATGAACACTATATAGTTTGTTCAAAAAATATTTCTCCTTCTTGGTTTGATCATAATTGCTTTCAAAATTGTGAACTGGTAATGAAAAGCGCTGAGAATTTCTATTGCCCCCTGCCATGTTTATTAGGAAGTTGCTAATTTAATGCAGGCAAACAGGTTATTTTAGCTAAACTAAGATATGCATGTAATAAACACTTTTGAAAAATAAGCCAGATGAATCACCCTCAAGAAGTGCCTTTCTCTTGCCTGAATATTAAGGAAGCTTAGACAGTTAGCTCAGATCAGACACCTAATTTTTTTGAAAGCTAAAATGAGCGAGATGAATCTAGGCAAAAATCCTGGATTGGATCACTGGAAAGTCCATTGTATGTGTCTGCTTACTTCAGCCTAATCACAAAACTGTCAGAACCTTAAGATGGACCAAATTGTTACCCACAGTCCCTCTACCCCTCTACTAACATTAGGTTTAATAGCTAAATAATTGTTAGGCCTGAATCTAATAGCAGGTACCCCCCACCCCGCGCTTTGTGAAATCTTACAGATCAATCAGTCCCATACCATCCATCACTATCAGTATGCAGAGAAGCTCCATAAAAAAATAGAGAAAATGATCCTAGCATGCAGGGTAGTGCTCCGTGAGCTCTAAAACATGATAGATGTTTCTTTGACAATGTAATTCAGGCAAGAGTTAAAAGACATGGACTGGAAATAAAGGGCAGAGGACAAAAATCAATGGAAGCTGGTGTGTCTCCTTTTTTTATAGAGTATGTGCTATAGTGAAAAAAACTATTCCGTTATTTGGGTAAAAGACATAATTTGATCCAATAAGTTCTCTACCAGAAAACATACATGGGCTGGAACATGCAGGCTGTGAGATTTTACTTATCCCTGACCATAAACAGGAGTTGCTATATATGCAGTAAACAGTATAATGGTATAGTAGAGTAGTAGTAGCCTTGTATATATATATGTGTCATTCAAAATGGGCATACAGTAATAATGTCAACTGGACTAAGTCCAAAAAAAGTTGTTCTTTCTGTAAACCCCGGAGGGCAAATCTTGTAGCTTCCAATTATGTAAAAGTATCAGATTGTGGGACTTCCACCTTCCAGAGCCAATTATGGATTTCCAGTTGAAAAACTAAAATGATTTATACCACTAAGAAGACTTATGGAAACATTTTAGTTGATTAGATTATACAGTACCAAGAATTAATCGAATACCTAAGTATGCATTATTTCCACTGTTGTACATCGAGGTGTGAAATTGGGCCCAAAAATTCCAAAGGGGTCTTTGGATGCCTCCAGAGGAGTGCAACAAAGAGGGTGAAAGGGGTGGAAGGCATGTCCTATAAGGAGTGGCTGAAGACACCAAGGCTTTTGTCTCATTTGGAGAGAAGGAGGCTGAGGGGCGACCTTACTGCTCTCTCCAGGAGGGGAAGGAGAGAGGGAGGTGCTGAGCTCTTCTCCCTGGGATCCAGTTCCAGGATGGATGGGAATGGCTCCAAGCTGCATCCCTCAGAGGAGGTGCAGGCTTGACAGGAGGAAACATTTCTGCACCAAGAGAGTGCTCAAACACTGGAAGGGGCATCCTCAAGAGGTGGTCAATGTCCGATGACAGTCAGTGTTGATTCACATGCTTTACCTTTTGGCCAGCCCTGAAGTGGTCAGGCAGTTGGGCTCCCATCATTGCTTTAGGTCCCTTACAGCTCAACTCAACTCTTCGATTTAGTTCAATGTGATTCTTCTTCCTCCTCCGCTGTCTCTCTCACCTTGTGGGAAGGAGGCAGGTACCTTCTGATGGGGGTGAGAGCTGGGGATCGTCTCGAGAGAATTGGATCACCTACCCGAGCAAAGTTGCAAAAAGCATGTGGGCACTGGGGTTTTGGAAAGTCGTCTGCGTTCATCCAGTTGAGCTGGGTTTCCACAGGATGGCAAGATAGCACATCGTGACACTAGCGAGGCTCAACGATCAAGCCCTCCATCTGAAGCTGGGCATGCTCAGGAACTACAGGGGTGCACACCTTTTGGATGGGAGCAAGAGCTCTTCATTTCCCTCGGGATTTCTTTCTTCTCTGGTTGTTTTCCCCTCCCATCACCGCCCCCGCGGAGGCAATTTGAGCAATGCCTGAGCTGTTTCCCTTGGCAAAACCTGCTAAAAGCAAAGGGCCAGAGAAGAGTCGTCCTCCGCCAGAGCCAAGGTGCATCTGGCCCAAAGCTCTGTCTCCCAAGGGGCCAGCCACAACTCTCTAAAGGAGAGGCCATGAGGAGTGCAGGTCTAGTTCTGCCAGGGTCCTGGGGGTGCTCCTAGGCGTCAGTGGCTGGGGAGGGCACCCCCCCGGGGGCCCGGCCCACCCCG